ATATATATATATATATATAAACTCTGTTTTGAAGCCTGGACTCTTATTATAGTACCATGGAAAATATTTTTGAAACATTTTTGAATCAAAAGGCAAAATGCTGCATGCATAATGGAGGCGCCTCTGAGTATTCAGATATTTTCAGATACTGGAATAATTAAGCTCTAAAGTATCCTCCTGGTCTTATGAACAAACATAAAATCTTAACTGTTTATATATAAAAAAAAAATCCTAGTTTATAGCATATGCAGAAGTTAAAAGCCAGCCACAACTCATCAAATCGGCAAGGCAGAACTGTCACTAGAAAGCAAACAAACATATTTTATGAATATAATGTTCATGAAAAACTGTAGCCTATTCATTCTGAACTGAAATTAGTTTAGAACTACTAACTGACGTTTTAGGTTTGAAGCTCAGGCCCACAGAACTAAATATGATAAGTAACCAGATAAGTCACCAAAAAGTGTAAAAAGAAAAAGAAACCCTAAATATTACATCTCAAAAATGCAGAAGCAGCTTCTGGGGAAAAAAGTCCTGAAGTGTCTCAGCATGACTCTGGACCTAAACGTTAAAGGGTAAAGATCTGGTAAAAACCTAAGAACTGTAAAATAATACCGCCCTATTCTTCCCTGTTTAACTTTAAACAATTCTGTCAAGACAAGAACAAATTCCAGAGAGAATGAACTGACAAGTTTGTAGAATCATTCCAAAGATTTTCTGTCTCGGCTAACAAAGGTGCTTTACTGGTTATAAGTCAAAGGTCTTAATAATTGAATAAATAGGGAAAAATCCATAATTTATTTACAAAACATGTTATAAATATATATATTTTTTTCACATTTGTGCAGATTATTGTGTTGACAACCTCAATGTATTTTTCCCCTTTATTACAGACACACACATATTATATAGGCTTTAATGGCTCTCCATACAATAACAGGAAAGAAAAACATCTATTTTTAGAGAAGAAAAAAACCATGTTGAAAACCTGAAATCATCTGAAAACTGTTGTTTAGCAACATTTTTAGAAGAATCAAGGTTGTGCATAAACTGGGTGTGGTTTCATGATATGGTATGAAGGAAAACCAAGCTGGGACATGCCTAATTTATGTTTCAGATGGGCTGTGGCACTGGGCTACTGTGGGGAGGCTTTCAGTGAGTTGCTCAGCTTCCCAGGCTGCTCAATAATGGATCACGTATTGTAGATTAGTAGCTGTGTGCTAGCTGGCCAAAACCTCCTTATTTTAGCCAGCTAGACCACAGCAACCAGTCTAGACAGTCTTCCAAAGTCCATACTTTCATTACCAAACTATCTATACTGTAGAGATAAGCTCTGCCAAAATGTCAGTTCTTAAATTATTAAAATGTACTATTGCTATCAGGTCAAGAAGAGCAAATTTCCCACATTGGTGATCACAGTTGATCAATCAAAATATTCTAATATAAATGGTAAATGGTAAATGGAGCTTACTTCTATAGCGCCTTCCAGCCCCCTATGAGGGGCCCCAAGGCGCTTTACAGTACCAGCCATCCACCCATTCACACGCACATTCATACACCGGTGGCGGTAGGCTGCCATGCAAGGCGCCATCCAGTCCCACCGGGAGCAACTCGGGGTTAAGTGTCTTGCCCAGGGACACAACGGCACATGGTGTGGGAAGTCGGGATTCGAACCTCCAACCTTCCGATCAGAGGTCGGCTGCCACTACCACTGCACCACGGCCGCCCACCCAATATAATAACATCAAGTAAAATTCACATTGGTAGGCTAATCATAAGATTGTAACTTAACAGCCGCTAATTACCTCCATGTTGGCTTTGTCACCAAACACCTGATTCAGTCCAAAATTTCCCCCACTCCTTTTCCCAATCTCATTCACTTCTCTCCCCAGGGTGGAGAAGGGGGTAGGGGAGTGGAGACAGATTAAGGATTGGGAAGCCTGACCAGAGTGGGACAGAGGGACTGCTCCCACCACAGCTGACATCTGCTAGTTAGCCATTCTACCTTTTGGACTAGGCCAAGCCGCCACGCACTGTGTGTAGGCCTGGAGCCAGAGCGTGTTGTGACAACACAGCTGTTCTCTAAGTTAAGCACTGACCTATATCTTTAAATAAAGGGATCACAAGTAAAACAGTGTCAACGCTCTTGTAAATGAGTACTCTTAGTGGTTAAAGAGTGGCCAGGTTAGTCCAGTATAAAGACGGCTTTTGTGGTGAAAGTGCCTCGATAGCGGACTGTCTGGGGAGGGCTGTGGATTGCCATATGCCTCAGCAGATGACTCCACCTTCACACTGAGCGGCCAGACTGGACACAGACACATAGCCCACCTTACACACCCTACCCCACCCACAAAGTGCAATAATCAGTTTTTGTAACAGTAAAATATCATAAGCACAGAGTAAAGCCTGAAATGATTTAAAAACCACACATTTATTTGCCCTTGAATGAAAAGTTCACCCAATGAGGTTCTTTGGGGAACACTGCAAAAAGGAAGAGATTCGTTGTAGGTCTGAGTCATGCCAGGGTGACAAAGAATGATCCAATGAGCCAAACGTTAGCTGTGCACCAAAATTTAGTGAACTGTGTTTCACTATTAATTATGGATTTGCAAAGTAAATGATGATTATTTGTGATACTGTATGTTATATATTATTTCACAAGAGCAACAAACTTTGAGTGCAAACTCTGACAAGTTGTTTGCGTCAAACAAATCTTACCTGGATGAGATGTGAAGGTAAAGTTACCACTGCAACTGACAGCGATGATCTCATTAAAGCACGCAATCCATAAAGAAAAGTAGTAAGGGCGTGCCGGTGTTTAGGGTTGTCATGGCAACTCAGGTCATCCCCCCACAAAGTTGAGCCAAGAGAGTGAAGGCCAACACGCAAGATGTTCCGTGACTTTGACTGTGAGAAGCAGAAGGAGGGGGAAAACAAATATATGAACATAAAAAAATATATGTAAACATGTCACATTTTTACTAAAGAACACACACTGGGGTGAAATCAACAACCAAAAAGTGCAAAAATCTCAGTACAATTCCTAAACTGCTTTAAAGCAACTTCAGAAAGATGTTTTCGGTCATATTTCTGAACTCTGGGTGAGAGCAACTGGACAGTCTGTTACCAGCACAGACGATTGGAACACAGTTCCCAAACGTGACTGGACACAACTGCCCAATCACAGAAGCCATCTGACACATGCACAATGGACCTGTCAGACAGGCTTCCAATATGGCCGCCACCCAGAAACCCCAGCACATTCTTGGCACAGCAGTTATGCACTGCAGCCAAGGGGGCCTGGGTAAGGGTGGAGGGCCTTGCGTTGAAACCCCGTTACTCCACTACAAGGGATCAACTGTAACCAACTTTGCTGAGGACAGAGGAAAAAGTGGCCAAACTGTGGTGGGATATATATCACAGAACCTTAGATAATGGACGCGTTTGTCCAAACTGTGAGAGGTTTCTAGCCTTTCATACAATTGCCTTTTATTTGGAGTTTCTTTAGGATGGTTCTTGATTACTGAGGAGGGGAGCCAAGATTGAATAACAAAACCCTGGTTTAAAATCTGCTCACTTTTCGTTTGTGTCCAGCCTTTTGTCTTCTTTAAACCTCCCCTCCTATTAACACGACTTCTACAAAATCTCTTCAGCTCCACTCAGCATTGCTATCTTGCCGAACATTATGACCTAAGCTTCGTTTGAATGTGGAGCATTATCAAAGGGATCTAAGAAAAATAAATGCCATTGTTTCGTGGCAATTTTTAAACGTTGGCTCAAAGTTTTCCAAAGGGCTTTCACACCACACGTTACAGTCACTCCTCTTTACATGATACATCATCAGTGTTGCATATCTATACATTCATTCACGGGAGTGTTTGCATTATATGTACTGGTATATAAAGTATAGTCACAACAGGACATGTCTTCTTTGTTCAGCAGTTTTTTTTTTCTTATCGAGGCTTTGAGAGGAACATAATTAAAAATCTATTTCTGTGTTTGAAGCTCAGCAGTAAGTAGCTGCAGTAACTTGACTGTTGCTGTATCAATAATGGGAGGCCAAACTTAACTCCTATAGATTAGCCTATAGAAAAATCAGGGAACAGAGCCAGTAGAGTCTAGCCAAAAACAAGAGGCCAGCATAGACTAAAACAAGTCTGGGATCATAACCTAATCAGCCGGTTTCTGATGTTTCTCACTGCTGTTAGAGCTATCTAAAAGGTCTCCAAAACCTACACTGAGGACAAGACAAATCTTTGTTCTAATTTTATCATTTACAAAACACATTTAATATTTGGTTTTCCTATTGTTAATAGTTCACAAAAGCTGAAAAACAAGCCAGTGCATGCACCCCATTATCCATATTGGTCCTTGTTGTGCCAGCGCCATGTGGCTCTGTGCTGGTCTGCATTCCAGGACTGTGCCAACAGCATGTCAGGTGGTCACACTGCTTTAATGATGTCAGCAGTTAATCTGGTGCTTGAGTGACAGATCTCAGGAGGGGAATCGGGGGGTGGAGGAGGTAAGTCTCATGTGTGAGCGACAGGGGGAGAGGTGGCTCCAGGTGACAAGCAGAGGGGTCACGGAAAGTAGGTGAACAACGCACACAGACAAGAAAGCAGGCCATGACAAAAAAATATACATTTTCATGCTGTTGTGACAAAAAGAAACTGAAGGAATAAATTTAAAGATGTGCTGAGTTTAAAATGTGAGGAGGCTATATCCAATGTAATGTATACAATATGTTGACAGTGTAATAATGGGCTTTGTTTAAAGTTTAAACAGACAAACAAAAAATTAGTAAGAATTCAGCATCATAATTGTTTTTAACATTCTGTATAGGATTAATGAATACTAAAATGATGCACACCATGTCAAGCACTCACAACTGACACAAAGACCAATTTTAGAAGGTGAGGAGGTTCCGACCTAAGTGATTTAAATGTGAAAGACGCATACATTTACATACAGCAATTATTATGTTGTAGTGCATTTTTAGAACTGCACTTATAATCAGTACAATATATTATTTTGATAGCAATAACACTTTATTTAAACAAAACTTATAGCTTTAACTGCCGGGAGCTAGTGCATGCTTTGCACCAGATCCTTCTGTTTTTACCAACAATAGCAATGGTCCTAGCACTGAAAACAGGTGCTACAGTAGCACCAACTCCTTGCAGGGCCAGAGCAAAGAACTCGCATTTTACAAGTTCACGGAGACCAATAATCAATGAAAGATTGTAAGGGTCTCGGTTAAAAATTTTGACATCAAACTTTAATGTTAAGAAGCCCAAAAAAATACTGCAATAACAGGAGCTCATTATTCAATTTTCCAGCTTTTTATGTTGCCTGTTGAGTTGTGAATACTGGTTAGTGCACTGCATAGAGCTACATACACTTTCATCATTTATAAGCAAGGTTTAAAACTGTTTATGAACATTGTTAACATTTTTAAATGTTCATAAATCCTGTTTGAGATGATGAGGAACTCCCATTATCAGCATGATTTACTGCACATATAAAAATTTTTTGGAAAATGCTAGTTGGGTAAACTGTGTTCACAAAAATTGACTGTTGTGTAAAACAGTGTTTATAAACTAAACTAGTAATATTAAACCATTATTTGCAACCATCATGAGAGAAATACTTATAAATGTGTAGCTAAACAGTATCCTTGCATTGTTTTTTTTAATTAAAATCCAAAGTACAATTATGTCATGGCTTCATGGTGGTGATTTGGATGTGAAAAAACTAGGGATGCACGATATTGGATTTGTGACCGATATCCGAGATGTTCAAACTTATTAAGCTGATAACCGATGCCAATATTTTATATACGTTCCTTTATCAGAACATAGCCCTCTTATTTAGGCTTATTTGCTACAAAAATTATGCAACAGCTGTAAGAGCTGGTGACAAATGTTCAGTAACAGCCATATGCATGGCAATTTAACTTATATTAAATGAAATGTGTTAAAATATTATTTATTAGCATTAGTCACCTGTGATGCTGTCTCACTTGTGGAGGCTTGTTCCGGGTTTCTAACTGCAGTGTGGGATCCTCTGCACTCCTGTGCATGAAGGACAGCCTTTTTAAGTTCAAAGTTTTTGTCTATCTATTGTGCCGTACAACTAACAGGTTAGACTAATGCTATCAGGGCTAACACGACATCCAAATGTCTGTGGTAAAACTCAACCAAGTGCTATCGGCTATTAGCTTCTCAATGACGTCGGAAATGACGGCTTGTAACTTGGGTAAGGTTACGTTGGAAAAATATCTACGACTGGGGAAGATGTAGCGAGGCTCAGCGTAGTTCAAAAATCTTTAGAATCTGACATCCTCAATGAAAAAAAAAACTTCCACACCGCAGACATTTTGAATTTTCCTCTCCGCCGTGAGATCAGGTAGGCGCGCGTGACGTCATCAGGTTGTGATGCCGCTGCAGGTATCCTTGTAACTGGGTTGTTATACAAAACAGCATCTTTTATATTGGTGAGTAATTTTGATGGAATGGCCGATGTCCGATATTGAACTTTAACGCTAATATCGGCCGATACCATGCTGATAATATTGTGCATCCCTAATTACTGCATGTTAGTAATCGTCTTTGTCTTAACCACACAAAAGTCTGCACAAACTAAAAGAAAACACATTTATGATAATAGAAACTTTTATGTTTCAAATCTAATTGACAGAGGCTACTGATATGATCACAAGTAAAATAAACAAAACGTACAACATTTCAGAATAAGGAAAAAAATAAAACAGTTAAACTATCTGGTTAAATAATTGAAGTTGTGACCAAATTTGACATGGAAGGATAGCTGGACTAAAGCAAAAAAAAAAGAAAAACGTGAAACAAAAATCTAGTAAAACTGCTTTCTGTCTGCTGTTTAGCAACACAAACATTTCTACGTGATTGTGATGAATTACTGATTTATAAATCAATTGCTGTCCAATTTTTGGAGAAATTACCACTCTGCAAAGGGTTTTTGATTAATATAGGTACAAAACAAAAATAAAGGGGAAAAATAATTTTTTTAGTTCTTCTTACCATGGGGGCTGCCAAATCAAAGCCCTCTCTGTGTATCACATCTTGCAGTGACTTCAGTAATGCAGAGTAAGACTCAAGCATGGGACTGAAGAGACAGATAAAAACACATTAGGAAAAGGCTCTAAACATTTCTCTAAGATGTGCAAACCATCAGGATATGTAAACCAGAGCATTAAAAAAAAAAAACTGGACCAAGCTCATCACTGCTGCAACCTAATCCTCAACGACTGCAGCACCCTCTTCCTGACTGTGCTTTTCTGAAGCCACTGAAGCAGACGGGCGATCCATATCAAGAGATCTAATTAATTTATTTGGTTGATTAAATTACAACATGACTGGTTCTCTGTCAGCTCTCCGAGGATCTGATTGTGCCGAGACAGACAGACAGATGAGGTGCACACATGCACGAACGTATGCACAACGAAGACGAGAATTAATGGGATTAATGGGCTGATATCTCAAATGAACAGAGAACAGCATTTTGGTGTTTAGTCAAGGGTAAGATGTGCACCACTGACAAGGGGCATACAGTACCATCAGAGCAACATTTAGAAACAGTCAAGGTGATGGCTGACTACTGAGTCGCTCCACAACATGCACACACACACTGTGAACTTATAGGACTAGCCAATAATAATGTTAACCCCATCTTTTTACACAGGACCCTCCACTTAAGAATGCCTCACCATTGTAATGACCACTCTGTAGCAACTCTCAGTGGGCTGCTATGTCAGCTGTCAATTCAAGCTGCAAGCTACAAAAGCTGATACACATAGGTTGGTCACATGCCAATTGCCCTGCATAAAGAACAGAAATACACCCTTGTGTTGATTACACTTGGCCACATATATCAATGAACTCCATTTCAGTTATTCAGCACAACAATGGTGCCTCCTGACCCTGCTGTGGCTAATGATAGAGCTGGATTGGTGAAAGAGGGACACCTACCCTTTACAGCCTCTCTGCCCATGCCCAAGCTCTGAACTAAGTGGGGGCTGGGATGGTGTGACAGGAGGTTGCCACTGGTTGGCAGCCATTGTGTTGGATAGCATTGTACTTAAGCTACCCCTACTGAGCACTGCTTTTTCAGGTACCAAAGAGCTCTAGGTGCTTTGCTACGGGGGCTAGAGCCTCAGCTAATTAAGATCATACACAGGAAACCATCTTTATCTCAGCCTTCCTCCTTCAACTTAGGAAGAAAGACGAAGGGAAGGGGGATGCTTGGTCTTAAACAACAGGATCTGTATCACCTAGAGAGCAATTTGTGCCAATTATGCCTTCAAGTGAAACGGAGCAATTTAACAGCTAGGGTATCAACATGGGGCAGTGGACACGTGCAAGGGGGAGTAGCCTGCATTAGAGTTTGTGTGTTGCGTGTGTAATGTGCTGAGTGTGTGTACATGTATTTGTGCCGATAACAGGGCGGGCCTTGGGGCACAATGGTGCTGTGCAGGTGTAGTGTCCAGCTGTCAAAATGTCTATGATATCTGTAACCTGTTTCAATAGCATTATGTCACATTCACTCACTGCTGTACAACACAAAGACATTTTTTTATCTCTGTATTCTACCCATTAAAAAACATTAAGCTCTATGTAAAAAGTAACCAATTTTGCCCACGTCATACGCTGCACTCTTGGAAAAACTTCAAACCAAACACCCGCAACATTTAATGTGTTTGCACAGGCGTTCTGTTTAACAGTCTCTGTTTACTGATATAAAGGATGACGGATCCTTTAAAGCCTCCTCCAACATCCTCTGTGCTCCAGATTGCTGTATTTACCCAGTGCATGTGAGTGCGCCTTCGTGTGCCCTTGTGTGTTCAGCAGCACTCTTTGCGTAAAGAGCCTGCACAACCTCTGAACCCTAAGTACACTCGACGTAGGAGAAATCAAACAAACGCTGAACAAACAAGACTCTTATTTGAATAGACAACCTTTCTGAGAATCTGAACAACTTAAGCAATGGAAAAAAAAACTTGAAACAGAAAATAAACCCAGTAATTTTTTAACAAATTTGTTTAGCATGAACAGTAAGGTTTAAATAAAAATAATATTTTCAAGTAGCATTTTATTAAATGACTATTTCATCTGAATTTATTCAAGTGAGTAATTATATGTGAGAAAAGTAAATGTTTTTTTTTATTATTATGTGATTTTCTAACAACAATAGAAATTTATGTTTGAAATTAAATCAATACATCTCATTAACGAATAATATTTAATTAATAGTGTGAGGTTGTTTTCTGCAGCAAGAGGGAATAAATATTGTAAATGTCTAAATGATGTTTAAATGTCTAAATGTTCCATGTTTGATTAGACTGATGACTGGCAGAATGCTGGTTATTGATACTTTATCATTTAGCTGGTTCTGCCAATTTCAAACAAGCCTATTACATTTTTGAGCTCCTAACATTTAATAATTAATAATTCACTCCTATTTTGCTTTTGTATTTAATCAAACATGTTTCCATTTCAAACAATTAGTGACAAAATAATTTGATTATTCAATGAGGCATGACTTTTGCTTTACATCGACACTGCACATAAAAAACAAAATTCAAAAAGCAATACAGTTATATAAATGTTTAGCATGTGTACAGGTCTGTTTTTCTGTATACAGTATATTGGTATAAATATATCTTTAGAAAACACTGCCATGTTTACTTACATGTGTTCTATGAACATAGTCTAATTTTTACAACATTTTGTGGATGATGTCATGCTTGTGTGTCTGTGTTCTCGGATTTTGTCTTATTGGTTGCTGTGCATTCTGTGGATGATGTCTTGTTGCTGTACCTGTGCGTGGTCGATGATTGGGAGAGATCTTCTGGAAGGTAAAAGTGGTGGCACTTCGCTGCCTGGCGGATTTCTGGCTCCATTGTCCTTGAGACATCATAGTAGTGACCAAATCGGGAAGAAGATGCCAGGGCAGTCTGAAAGGGTCAATAAGTAAAATTAAAAGGGATGCACGATATTGGATTTTTGGCTGATATCCAATATGCCAATATGTTAAAACTTACTTGGCCGATAATCAATACAGATATTTTTTTCTTAGATTTACTTAGAGACTACATAGTTTTCTCTGCTGTGGTATTAAAATACTACATCATTCAGCATGTTTTTTTGTCAATTTGGCCTGCTATCAAATGCAGATGCCAAAAAAGGGGGCTGAAAATGTAATGTTTCAACTTGGGATTATGGTTAATGTCAAATTTATTAATTTAGCATTAATTTAATTAATTTATTCATGATATATACTCTCTAACAAAACGACAACCCTCGAACAGTGCAAATTTGTAAATTTTCACAAATCTAAAATCAACTGTTGACAAGCAACAAGTGAAAAGCGAGTAAGTAGTAGTGCATTAATAGATATATGACAGTTTGTAGAAGCTTGCAGAATGGACTGCTGGTGAGGTTTTGTTTCTCCGGGAATGACCGCTCTCTCGCTTTCCTTTCTGGCCATCATGAACTCATCGTAATGGTCAGAATGGTGGTTCTTGAGATGGTTAATTAGGTTTCAAGTGTTGGACTTTGTTTTCGCTCCTCCTCGCATCGCTGACGCTGAGCAGTCATTGCAAATAGCAGTTCTGCTATCAGTTTCCGACGTCTCAAAAAACTTCCACACCGCCAACATTTTCACTTCTTCCTCTCCCACCGTGATCAGATCAGGTAGGCATGCATGACATCATAACGTTGTGCTGGCGCTGCAGGCATCCTTGTCACTTAGTTGTCATACA